GGAGGGTGCGGGGGCGGGGTTGGGGCTGGGGGGCTTCTCCTGCTGAGGAATGGCTTGCCAAGAGCAGGGTGGGAAAGTAAAGCTTCAGGAGCCAGAGGATGCCTGCACAACAAAGCCTGTTTCCCCTCAGCCTCAGAGCCAAGAGGGGCCTCCTTGGGCCCTGCCCAGGAACTAAAAAGCAGGCCCAGAGAGCCCTGGAGACGCAGGCCAAAGGGAGAGGGCCTGCAGGACAGGGGCCTTTAGAAACCAGCCCTGGCCTCTCTGGGGCTGTATAAGCACCCTGGGGGGGGGCAGTGTGTTCTGTGCTTTTGAGCCTCTTCCAGAAGCAGCTGCTGAGGGCCTCAGAGCAGCCTCCATGAGGCTAACTTTGGAGATGTTGGAGATGGATCAGAGATCTGGACACAGGGACTGGTTTCCAAGGAGCTGAGAGTGCAGGGCTCTGCCTGCTTCCTTAGCACCAGGAAATGCTACAGCTTCTACTGCTGATCCCCTGGCCAACTCCCCACCCATTCTGTAGAGTCTCAAATGCTATCCCAGAAACAGGTGAGGCAGGAGAAGCAGCCCAAGTTCAGTACCCCAGTACTACTCGCCCCCAAGATTTCCTAGAAGAGCAGCACCCTCCCAACTGTCATCAGCCTCTGCAGCTTGCCTGCTCACTGCTGTAGAAATCACAGATGCTTCTCTCCCTTATTGAACAGAATCTTATATCCCAGGCTGTCCTGAAACAGGTTTTGTAGTCCAGAGTGGCCTTGAGTTTCCTGCCTAGCCTCCACCTCTCAAGCGCTGGTGTTATAGGTATACAACCGCCACACATGGCACACTTTGCTTTCATTTTTTGAAGACAGGGTCTCTATGTGGCCTTGGTTGTCATGGAACTAGGTAGGTCCCAGACCTCACAGCGATCTGCCTGCCTCTGCCTCCTGAGCGCTGGGATTAAAGGCGTGCAACACCAATTCCCGCCAGCACACTTTTCACTTCGGCATTATTTTGATTAATTCTGCCTGAAACTATTCACAAATCCTCAGGTATCAATGCTGTGGGAAACTAAGACGCTCCAAAATGGCTCTCACCTGGGAGCTTTAAGATGGACTCTAGCCCTGCCTCAGGAATCTTGAGTCTGCTTCCTGAGTTAGGGACTGTGCCCCCAGGGCGCACTCTGGCTACTCTCTGAGGACATCTGTGTTGGCTGAGCCTCTGCTTTGGTTAGAGGGCCACAGGCTCCCTTCTCCCACCTCCAGTATCACTGCAGAAGTTGATATTCAATTTTGTTTTAGTTGATGTTCCTCCAGTGAAAACGGCCTGCTAAAGTGGCTGGCAAGAAGGCGGAGCTGAGCAGTCCTGGGGCTGCTCATCTGCCACCGAAGACCCAAGCGATCTTGCCTTGTAGTTTGCTCCGTTTGGGGGACACCTTGAGCACGTTGGTCTGTGCTCTGGAAGAGAATTGTTCCCAGTAGCATCTGTCAGATCCCCCCCGGATCAATGCTCAATGCGATGTGAGAAAAGGCTGGAGGGCAGGTGTGTTAAGCGGGGGCGACCACCGATGGCTGCTGGTTTGAACGCCAGCCACGGTGACTCAGAGGTATGGGCTGACCTTAGAAGCTAGCATGCGTGGGCGGGAGTGGGAGATAGTGCGTGCCCACTCGGTCTGACCCCAAAGCCGAAGCTCCCGAAGCCGGTGCAGGTCCCCTTGCAATGGACGGCACAGACAATGGTGCTCTATCCCCGGAGCACGGCCGCCCCCTGCCCGGCCGACCCTTTCAGGCTGAGAGCCGGCGGCGGGACGCTGGCTGCCTGG